TTTTTTTTTTTTTTTTTTTTTAATCTTTTGGTCCCGGGGATCAACTGACAACCTTCCGCTTGCGAGGCAGGCGTGTCACCACTGGACTAAATCTGCAGCCCCTTTTCTGTCAATTTTTAAAACAAATGGGTGTTTCCAAGACGCGTGGTATTTCTAACTACTTCATCGACTGTCAGAATCTCTTTACATCTGTGTTGTCCACAAGCAAAGACTGGGGGTGCCGAGAGCAGCCTTTTCGTGCTGTACACACAGGCCGTGTAAGAGCGGCTAAGGTGGGGGCATCTCCAAGTGCCATGTGGGGAATGGCAGCTGCCTGTGGCCTGGGCACCCTCACCTTCCAGGGTGGCGAGGCCTCCAGCGGGGACACAGCAGTCACCCCAGGACCCAATCTGCACAGTTCTATGGCCCGAAGTGGCCAAGCTTTCAGACCTGCCTCGGCCCTTGAGGCACCGGCCCTCTGTGTGGTCAATGCCTCCTTCTTCCTGTGCCACGCTGCAACTGCTGCAAGGCACCATGCCCTGGGCGCTGGCAGGTTTGAGCTGGGAGACCCTGCGGCCTTCAAGGTGGCGGGGAGCAGCTCGCCTGTGCTTCAAGGCCTGGGCCCAGCCAGTGGGCAGTGCCAGCGTGGCAGCCAAGAGCCTACAGGGTGAAGGTACGGCCTGTCCTCGGCCCCCGGGTCACCTACCGCCGCAGTGGGAGGGCTGGAGCCGGCCATGCTGTTCCTCACTGCACTCCGAGCCGGTCCTCCCCTCTGCGCTTTTAACTGGCGTCTTTGATAACAGGCAAAGCTGCCCTGCCGGTCAGATTTTCTTGTTCTGTGCCATGTCTGCATGTGGTTTTGCCTATTCTACTCTTTTTTCCTTCACTTGGTTGTCTGTGGTCATCAGAGGGTCTTGAGATTTATAGGACCGCCCTACCTGTGTTTGTGTTACTAACATTTAAGAGCTCCGTCCCTGTCGCGAGCTTAGGAAGCCCCTTGGAGACCGACCTCTCACTGTGCCGTGTCTGTCCTGTTGTGCACCTGACTGGCCCTTCCTCGTGTGAGTCGGGGATTCGCCTCTCCGGGGCAGACGTGCAGTGGCCTCGAGCCTGTTCCCAGTTGCCCTGCTCCCCGCTGTTGGGCAGGGCAGGGCCTCGTCTGTGGGTGCTGAGTCCAGGCAACTGCAGTGGGAGCTGTGGTGCAGTCAGGTGACCCCAGAGGGAGCCGTGTGCAGGGACGAGCTGCTACGAGGTGCTTTGTGCTTTTTCTGTTACTTCTTTCCTTGACTATTCCAATTGTTTGCAGTTGGTGTATGGAAAAGTACAGGTGACTTTGTCAGGCTCACGCCCAGCACTCTTACTGAACTCTTGTTAATTCTAACGTGTGGATTCACCAGACTCCAAACAGAGACAACTCTGTCCGTCACCCCCCACATAGTAACTGAACCTCTGATTTTCTTCTTTGCCTTCGGCGCCTTTCTGGTC